GTCACATCTTCAAGTTCTTTCCCTGCTAAACCTCCAATTACTCAATTATCATCTCGACAACAAAAGCCCTCCAAATGCATGCCCTGAACCAGTCCTTCGTCATCAGATCCTGTCTCAAATGATGATCTTCCTATTGCTCTTAGCAAAGGTAAGCGTCAATGCCCTTATCCTGTGTCTTCGTGTGTATTTTATAACCATTTACCCATCTCTTCTTGTTCCTTTATTACATCTATTGAGTCTATCTTCCTTTCTAAAACTGTTCATGAAGCCTTATCCCATCCCGGGTGGCACAATGCTATGATAAAGGAGATGAATGTTTTAGATGGTAATGATACTTGAAACTTAGTTAATTTACCTGTAGGGAAGAAGGCTATTGGGAGTAAGTGGGTTTTTGCAGTTAAATTCAATCCTGATGGGTCGGTTGCTTGGTTGAAAGCTCATCTTGTTGCCAGAGGCTATGCCCAAATCTATGGCGAGGATTATTTTGACACTTTTTCTCTTGTTGCTAAGTTAACATCTATCAGGTTATTCATTTCTATGGTAGCCACTCATAATTGGCTTTTGCATCAATTAGATATCAAGAATACCTTTCTTATGGAGACCTCCAAGAGGAAGTTTATATGGAGCAACCACCTGGGTTTATTGCTCAGGGGGAGTTTGGGAAGGTTTGTCATCTTCGGAAGTCCTTGTATGGATTGAAACAAAGTCCTCGCGCTTGGTTTGGAAAATTTAGTCTAGCAGTTGAAAGATTTGGGATACAGAAAAGCAAATCTGATCATTCTGTTTTCTACAAATAGTCTGAATCTAGTATTATTTTGTTAGTAGTATATGTGGATGATATTGTTATCACTAGGAATGATGCTGCTGATATTTCATCTCTTAAAACTTTTCTCCATAGTCAATTTCGACAAAGGATTTGGGACTGTTAAAGTATTTTTTGGGTATTGAGGTATTAAAGAGTAGGGAAGGGATATTCCTGTCCCAAAAAAATATGTTCTTGACTTACTATCTGAAACGAAAAAAATTGGGGGCTAAACCAGCTAGTACCCCAGTGATTCCTAACTTGCAGCTCACAAAAGAAGGTGAATTGTTAGAAGATCTTGGGAGGTATAGAAGATTGGTTTGAAAGTTGAATTATCTCACAGTGACTCGTCTAGATATCGCGTATTCAGTTAGTGTTGCTAGTCAATACATGTTTAATTCTACCGTTAATCATTGGGCAGCTGTAGAACAAATTTTGTGTTATTTAAAAGGAGCTTTTAGATGCGGTATTCTGTATAAAAATCATGGTCATATTAAGATTGAGTGTTTTTCAAATGCTGATTGGGTAGGATCCAAGGCAGATTGAAGATCCATAACTGGATATTGTGTCTTTGTTGGAGGAAACCTGGTCTCATGGAAGAGTAAGAAGTAGAATGTTGTCTTGCGATCGAGTACAGAGTCAGAATATAGAGCTATGGCACAATCGATATGTGAAATCATGTAGATAAATCAACTTCTAACTGAGGTAGGTCTCAAAACCTCAATGCCTGCAAAATTGTGGTGTGATAACCAAGCAGCTTTTCATATTGCATCCAATCCCATATTTCATGAGTGAACAAAACACATCGAAATAGATTGTCATTTTGTTCGTGAGAAAATACATCAGGGCTTGATTTCTACAGAATTTGTAAGGACTGAAGAATAGTTGGGAGATCTCTTTACGAAGGCTCTGCATGGGGTTCAACTTGATTACCTTTGTAACAAGTTGGGCATAAGTAACATCTATGTTCCAGCTTGAGGGGGAGTGTTACAGAATTAATATAGGAATTTATTGTGAATAACTTGATTATAGGGATAGCTTAATTATAGGAATAACTTGATTATAGGGATAGCTTAATTATAGAACTCTACCTGATTGATAGTTAACTTTCCTAACATAGAGGTGTTAGTTCGTGTATATATATGTAACATTTTCTCTCAATAAATTAGTGAAATATATTCTATCCAAAATTACGTTTTCAATTTGATAAACAACACATAACAGATTGGAGTAAAAAAATAACACAGAAATATAAGATAAAGAAAAAGAGAGGGGGGTAGAATCCCTCTTCTCGTGTCTAGTGTTCTTAATAAGGTAGATCAATGCTCTATCCTAGGTTTCTAAATGAATGCATGGTGATACGAGCGGCACCAACCGTGTGATGCAACCCGTACAGAAAAGCTTGGATTTAGAAGGTAGAGACTCACGTTGAAGACGATGAATGCAGCGGATCACCTAAACCCGTTAATCACATGGTCAACGAATCTCGGTATTTGTAGAAGACGCCACAATCTAACGCGGTCCTAGATTGATAAGTCAATTGAATACCTAAGATATAAATCTAAGATATTCAAGGTGCTTCAATAAAGCTTGAGAGAACTCTCAATGTAATTTTATTAATCATCAAAAGGTGTCTCTTACAACCCTAAAGGCTAACTTAAATAGACAAATAAAAAGACTAACGGACCAAATTACTTGCTAATGAGGCTCACATGGCCCAGAATATTGGCCCATGAACTAAACAACGACTAGGGTCCAAACCATAGCTAGTTGGAACCTTTTTATTATATTTTACTAAGACTACTAATGGGCCATGGGCCCTTGACCCAATCTCACACTAATCCTCAGGGATGGCCTTGAGGAAGATGACATCTGTAGCTTCGTTAAGGCCTTCAATGGCCTTGGGCTCTCCACTAGACTCTCGGGCCGCGCGAACCAATGTTTGTAGTGCTTCACTTAACCTCTTCGCACGAGCACGTCATAGGCCCCAACGGCACCTTCACTTGCTCCACTTGAATAGCACCCTCGACCTCCTTATCATTCCCCTCCTCTTGCGAGGGTCATAGGGCCTAACATTTAATGTTGCTGGTATAAGTTCTGGATAAACTCGGCTTTCTTCTTGCCATCAAGGTTAGTACGTTCAGACAAAGAGAAATGCATCAAATCCAAGGGAGTCAAAGGGTTAAAACCGTAAACAATTTCAAATGGTGAAAATTGGGTAGCACTATGAACTGTACGGTTATAAGCGAACTCAACATAGGGTAAACACTCCTCCCAAGTTTTGAAATTCTTTTTAATGATTGCCATAAGTAATGTAGACAATGTGCGGTTAACGACCTCGGTTTGGCCATCAGTCTGGGAGTGACTGGATGTAGAAAATAGCAATTTAGTCCCCAACTTCTCCCACAAAGTCTTTCAGAAGTAAGAGAGAAACTTAACATCTCTATCAGACACAATAGTCCTAGGGACACCATGCAAACGGACAACTTCCTTAAAGAAGAGATCAGCTATGTGAGTAGCATCATCCGTCTTATGACAAGGAATGAAATGGGTCATTTTAGAGAAACGATCAACAATAACAAAGATACTATCATGACCCCTTTTACTCCTAGGCAGACCAAGCACAAAATCCATAGAAATGTCAACCCAAGGATCCGAAAGAATAGGTAGAGGTGTATACAAACCAAAGGGTTGTAACTTGGACTTGGCACGGTGACAGGTGATGGAGCGTGACACCACTCGTTCCACATCCCGCCTCATGCGTGGCCAATAGAAATACTCCTGTAAAGTACTCAAAGTCTTGATGACACCAAAGTGTCCTATCAAACCACCTCCGTGAGCCTCACGGGTTAGTAACTCACGAACAGAGCATGACGGAATGCACAATTTATCATTACAATACAAAAATCCATCATGAATAAAGAACTTACCTTGACCCGACTTAGCACAAGACTTGTATATATCAGAGAAATCAAAGTCGGTATCATAAAGTTCTTTGATAAGATCAAATCCAAGGAGTTTAGTGTCAAGTAGAGCAATCAAGGCATACCTCCTGGACAGTGCATCGGCAATGACACTGATCTTGCCCGCTTTGTACTTGATCACATAAGGAAAGGACTCCACAAAATTGACCCACCGGACGTGTCTCTTACTCAACTTGTGTTGAGACTTGAGATGCTTTAGAGCCTCGTGGTCAGTGTGGATGACAAATTCCTTAGGCCACAGATAATGTTGCCATGTTTCCAGTGCACGAATCAAAGTATAAAACTCCTTATCGTAGGTGGAGTAGTTCAAGGCAGCACCGTTCAATTTCTCACTAAAATATGCGATTGGTCTTCCCCTCTTGGATCAATACGGCTCTAATTCCTACATCAGAAGCATCACACTCAACCTTAAAAGTTTTATCAAAACTAGGTAAGGACAATAAGGGTGCATGTGTGAGCTTATGTTTAAGGAGTTGGAACGCCTTCTCCTGAGCTTTCCCCCACTTGAACTTCACATCCTTCTTGATAATGGCGGTAAGAGGGGCAGCTATAGTACTGAAATCCTTCACGAACCGGCGATAGAAGCCTGTAAGGCCGTGAAAACTCCGAACTTCACTCATGGTCTTGGGCACGGGCCACTCATTGATGGCCTGGATTTTGCTCTCGTCCACTTTAATGCCCTGTGCACTAACCTTATAATCAAGAAAAACAAGCTTATTAGTGCAGAAAGTACATTTGTCAAGATTAGCGAATAACCTCTCCCTGCGCAAAACATCAAGAACAGCTCGTACATGTGCTACATGTTCCTCAGGACTCTTGCTGTATATCAAAATGTCGTCAAAATAAATAACAACAAATTTACCTAAGAACGGGCGAAGCACATGATTCATAAAACGCATAAATGTACTAGGAGCGTTAGTCAAACCAAAGGGCATAACTAACTACTCATACAGGCCATACTTAGTCTTGAAGGCTGTCTTCCACTCGTCCCCTTCTTTCATTCGAATTTGATAGTAGCCACTCTTAAGATCAATCTTGGTGAAAATGACTGCACCATACAATTCGTCAAGCATAACATCTAAACGAGGTATAGGGTGACGATACTTAACTGTGATAGCATTGACGGCGCGGCAGTCTACACACATCCTCCAAGTGCCTTCTTTCTTTGGGACCAGTATGACTGGAACTGCACATGAGCTCATGCTCTCTCGAGCCTAACCTCTCTCTAAGAGCTCATCTACTTGCCGTTGGATCTCCTTAGTCTCCTCAGGGCCCATCTTGTAGGCCGGTCTGTTAGGTAAGGATGTTCCAGGAATGAAGTCGATCTGGTGCTCGATCCCTCTAAGTGGTGGCAGACTACTGGGGATCTCATCTGGTAAAACGTCCTCAAATTCTTGTAATAAAGAGGAGATTTCAGGAGGTAAGTCATTGAGTGCTTCATGGGAAAGTAAAATCACTTCTTTGCAATATAAGATATAAACAACTTGTTTGGACAAAAGTAATTTGCAAATTTCCCTGTTCTTTGCAAGCAAGTTAGGGCGTTTGTCCAATCGACCAGATGTACCAGGGTTGGATGTCCTCTCGGTCGGTGCTCTAATGATTGCCTGAGAATTGGGTGACCTTTTAGCCACCTCTCGTTCATGCTCCTGTTGCAAACGCAATTGGTTTTCATGCACCTGCTGAGGTGTGAGAGGAACAAGTGTCATCTTCTTATTGTGGTGCAAGAAGGAGTACTTGTTGGTAAAGCCATCATGGGTAGTCTTCTTGTCATATTGTCATGGCCGTCCCAACAAAATGTGAGAAACTTGCATGGGAACGACGTCGCAAAGGACCTCATCCTCATACTTCCCAATCTGGAAAGGCACCACCACTTGCTTGGTAACTTTGATATCGCCACTCTCATTGAGCCATTGCAAGCGATATGGGCTAGGGTGCCTCAACGTGGGCAAGGAAAGATGATCCACCATAAGAGTACTTGCCACGTTAGTACAACTACCCGCATCAATGATGAGACTACATACTCTTCCCTTGACGTTACATCGCGTGTAGAATATGTTGTCACGTTGGGCCTCATCCACCTTCTTGACTTGCGTTGCAAGAGTCCGACGGGCTACTAGAGCAACACCCACTTGCTCAGTAGTAGCCTCAACCTCTACCTCGGAATTTTCACTTTCTTCAGTCAATGGAGGCATGTCAGCGAACTCGTCCTCGTCGTCAGATATGACATCTTCGCTAGGTAGGACAATCATAGTGCGTCTATTGGGACATTGAGAAGCAATGTGCCCAAATCCTTGGCATTTGAAGCACTTGTCGCGGCTTTGTGGCTTGGAGGAGTCGAATGAAGGCCTTGGAGTTGTCTTTGGGGTCTGCTTGGGTGGCTCGATTTTAGGGGTAAATTTGGACACCCCTGGATTAGGCCGTTCCCGCTCGAAGGTCGGGTTGCCCCTCCACACAGGCATGGCCGAGAAGTTAGGGTTACGAGGGTTACCCCTCCTCTTAAGTCTCCTCTCGATCTTGGATGCTTTGTCGATCAATTCAGGCATATCCATGTAGTTTTGCAACTCCACCAATTCGGCGATCTCAGGTCTCAAACTGTTAAGGAATCTCGCCATGGTAGCCTTTCTATCCTCCACAATGTCTGCTCGGAGCATGGTGATCTCCATTTCTTTGAAGTAGTCCTCCACACTACGGCTTCCTTGGACTAATGTCTGGAGCCTCTGGTATACGTCACGGTAGTAATGGCTAGGTACGAACCGTTTTCGCATAGTGGTTCGTAACTCCTCCCATGTACTAATTTGCCGTTCTCTATTGCAGCGCCTGCTAGTGCGCTCCTGCTCTCACCAGACAATAGCGTAAGCGGTGAATTCGAGGGTTGCCAGTTTGACTTTTTGTTCATCTGTGTAGTCCTGGCACTCGAACACCATCTCGATTCGCTGCTCCCATTCTAGGTAAGCCTCCGGATTAGACTTGCCTTGGAATGAGGAAATCTTGATCTTGACTCTCTTTAATCCGTCATCGGTTCTCCAATAGTCCTGCTTGGACCGACGGATGAAGTCATCTTCCTCGCTATTAGACGCTAACTCCTCGCGAGGTGGCGCATCTTGATGGGCAGCATTGGACCGAGCTTGAGAAAGTTCTAAGCGGTCCATCCGTTGGTGTAGGGACACCATGGACTCCTGAAGCATGCGTTGGAACTCCCCTATCATTGCTTGGTTGCGCAATTTGGAGTCAAATTTGGATGCGTTGCTCTCCTCCGACATGATGTACGAAACCTGTAAAAAGTTAGTAGCAAAGCAAGTATAGATATGGTTGCCTCACTCACTCCCTCACGTGTATATGCTCAGCTCTCGTGTATGTCACTCAAAGGGCACTCGAACAATCTTACCAATGCTTTCAAAACCTCTTGATAGCTGACCTTGAAGAAATTAGAAATCCTCCCAGGCAAAGAATCAACTTCAAATTTTGGAACACGAGAATGTGCAATCCTCAATGGAATAGAGAATAATGGAATGATTGACTCGAGCGACAATGAAATGGCACGACTCAATGAAAGGAAACAAAGAAGACAAAGACACGAAAAGGAATTGAAGAAAATGACTCGACCTAAAAATACTCTTTTTTCTCTTTTTTTTTTTAAGAAACGGAAACTGCCCGGCTTGTTTAGTAGGTCTGGACGGCCTTTCTAAAGGCCTGGAATGGTGGTGGTTAGCTAAGGACAGTCGCCGAAAAGAAAAAGAAAGAAAAGGCTAAGGAAACTCCTAAAATGTAGGAGTAAGTAGGGCTAAAATGTAGGAAGAAGTTTTCCTAAAAAGCAGGCTAAGAATGGCGGCTGGAATGGAGGTGAAAAGGTAGGAAGAAATGTTGCTAAAATGTAGTAGAATAATCCCTAAAAAGTAGGAACAAGGGACGGCTATAATGTAGGAAGTGGTGAGACAAGTAAGGAGAAAATTTAGGAGATTGAGTTTTTGGAAACTTTCACAGTTAGGAAACCTCAAGGATAGGAAGCCAATTTGGTTTGGAAAAAACCCCAATGAAAGGCACAGCTAGCCTAGGCTATTAAATACCCTAATGGCCGTGCACTTTAATTCCCCACAAACCGCAAACAAGCTCGCAAATTCTGGTCAAGGCAATTTGGCAATTTTGGCTAGGATCAAGACAAGAATAACGAGTTATAGTCAACCAAGATGGTGCAACTAACCCTTCTCTGGCTCCCCCCCAACGGGTTACTCAAGATATGCCCAAAAAATTTACTCCAAAACCACGAAAACCCTTTACCACCGCAAGGGAGTACAAGAAGTTTTTTTTTTGCTAGAAGAGTGACTCAAATTCCCAAGGCTCAAAGCAGTCAAGAATTTTCAAGAAGTTGTGGACCAAAACTTTAGAATGTTATGTTTGTTTTGGCTTTTGTTTTATAGGTTGGACCACTATGTAGCACTTCAATTGGTTGGCAATAAAATTTCTGGAACTTGGCTTGGCCGAAACAATTATGTTGCTTGCTGTCTTTTTTTTTTTTTTTTAAAAAAAACAACAAGGTGAAATAATGGTCAGCTAGAGTGCTCTTCGTTTGGGACTTGGCTGGCCGCTTTTTAATTTGTGTATGGCTGACAAAAGCAAGCAATCAGATTTCATACAAAACAGCTTCAGCTAAGGGAAATATTTTTGTATGGCCGACAAAAACAAGTAATCAGATTTCATGCAACTCAGATTTCACTTGTCAAAGGACAACTCAGATTTCATGCACTTGCTAATTTACACCAAATACCCCTGGGTTGTTTCCAAACTCACGACTATCACGATGATTTCAACTTCCTAATTAACGGGTTTACACCCAAAACAGTCCACAACTCACGGATTACAAGAAAAATTTCGGACAGCAAGGGAAACACAGGTATGGCAGCCGTTCCTTTTTTCTTCTTTTTTTTTTTCTGACTTTGCTAGGTTGCGCACACGACTCAAACTCACAACTGCTAACCCGGATAGACCACAACTAATAGCAAATAATGGAGATCGCAACCTGGACAGGCTACTACTCACGGCAACACTAGATGCAACAAGAGGGAGGAAACCCTAACCGCCGCAACTAGCTTTCCCTTTCTTTTGTTTTTTTTTTTGAGCAAGACACGACTGACCAATCCCCAAAGACAATAATATAGACACCGAATCACGAAGAACTCAGGCTGGAACGGTCGGCCAGCAACACACAACACGACAGATTGGCAACAAGAACACACAAGACAAGGGAAACACACGCTGACAGATTGAAGACAATCACGGACCGATATTGACACAACACCAGCAAGAGCAACGACACAGCTAATGGAGCAACAAAAATAGAAATTTCGACTCGACAACAAGACAAAACAAATGCGACAAAGCTTGGACTGATTAGAGACACTTGAACAGATTTTTTTTTTACTCCAACAAGAACAGCAAACGACACCAAAAGAAGGCAAACGACTCAAAGGAAAAAGGGATATACGTGATACCTTCAACTAACTCTGATGCCAGCTGATACGACGGTACCAACCGTGTGATGCAACTCGTACAGAAAGGCTTGGATCTAGAAGGTAGAGACTCACGTTGAAGACGATGAACGCAGCGGATCACCTAAACCAAATGATCACGTGGTCAACAAATCTCGGTATTTGCAGAAGACGCCACAATCTAGCGCGGTCCTAGATTGATAAGTCAATTGAATACCTAAGATATAAATCTAAGATATTCAAGGTGCTTCAATGAAACTTGAGAGAACTCTCAATGTAATTTTATTAATCATCAAAAGGTGTCTCTTACAACCCTAAAGGCTAACTTAAATAGACAAATGAAAAGACTAATGGGCCAAGTTACTTGCTAATGAGGCTCACATGGCCCAGAATATTGGCCCACGAACTAAACAACGACTAGGGTCCAAACCACAGCTAGTTGGAACCTCTTTATTATATTTTACTAAGACTACTAATGGGCCATGGGCCCTTGACCGAATCTCACACTAATCCTCAGGGATGGCCTCGAGGAAGATAACCTCTCTAGCTTCGTTAAGGCCTTCAATGGCCTTAGGCTCTCCATTAGACTCTCGGGCCGTGCGAACCAATGTTTGTAGTGCTTCACTTAACCTCATCGCACGAGCACGGGTCATAGGCCCCAACGGTACCTTCACTTGCTCCACTTGAATAGCACCCTCGACCTCCTCATCACATGGTATTGGCCTCACTAATACATCTAGACTCGATAAGGTTTCAAGTTCCCAATCCTTCAGACAAAAAGGGCGAATGGTCATCAATCCCAAAACCCTTAATCGGTGGCTCGAGTGATCCCCCAGACATTGCTACGTGCACGTCGTGCTACTGCCACATGTCCAAGTGGATCGATCCTAATTTTAATAGAGAGGAGTGGTGTGACAACCACTAAAAGAAAATAAGATAAAGGATTAAAAGGAATAACATATGCATGTATGAAGTGCTCCTTTGAGAAGAGGGAGTAACACCATTAAACATGCATGAACGTTCTAGGGTAATATCGCTCCCCATCTCCAAATGCAAAGCGCGATACGAATAAGTAAATATAAGTAAATAAACAAAAGTAAATAGACAAACCATTCATCACATACATGAGAAACGAGGAACAAATACAAATGTGAAATGCAAAACCTTCCAAAAAAGAAAAATGCAACCTAAGACATCCAAATATGATAAGTGAAAGAGTTAGA